GTGGGGCTGGAGGGGGTGCGGAATAAGTCGGGGGGATGCACTGGTGCTGCTCCAGGCGGCTTCCCAGCCTCGGGCTGTGGAAACAGGAGAATTGTAGAATAGTTTGAGTAGGAAGGGATCCTAAAGACGATCAGTTCCAGCCCCCCACCATGAGCAGGGACACCTCCCACCAGCCCAGGTTGCTGCAAGCCCCGTCCAACCTGGCCTTGAACACTTCCAGGGATGAGGCATCCACAGCTTCTCTGGGAAACCTGTGCCAGCATCTCACCACCCTCATGGAGAAGAACTTCTTCCTGATGCCTGATCTACCCTGCTCTAGTTTAAAACCATTGCTCCCTGTCCACATGCCCTTATAAAAAGTCCCTCCCCAGCTTTCCTGTAGCCCCTTCAAGGTACTGGAAAGCTCCTATAAGGTCTCCCCAGAACCTTCTCTTCTCCAGGCTGAACAGCCCCAACTCTCTCACCTGTCCTTGTAGGAGAGGTGCTCCAGCTCTCTGATCATCTTCATGGCCTCCTCTGGACCTGCTCCAACAGGTCCATGTACTTCTTGTGTTGAGGGCTCCACAGCGGGACAAAGCACTGCAGGTGGGGTCTCAGAAGAGCAGAGCAGAAGGGCAGAATCACCTCCCTTGACCTGGCCACAGCTGCTTCACATGCCAGCCAGGATACCTGATCTGGCAGGGGGATTGGACTAGATGATCTTTTGAGGTCCCTTCCAATCCCTAGCATACTGTGATACTGCTATATCGTTGGCTTTTTGGGCTGCCCACATACGGAGGAGGCAATGTGTGCTGTCCACACAGTAAGGAGGTTTAGCCTGCGGGGCAACCAGCCTGTAGTTGTTTATCCAGCTGAAGTATTTAGGATTATTTTTATCTCCTGATCTTGCTTTTGCAGCTACTGTGAAGTGCAGGGATTGCTCAGAGCCTGGGGAAGGTGGAGAAGCTGCTACCAGCCCTGTGGCAATGGTTGGAGCCGCTTCCAGAAACCTTTAGGAAAGTTGTCCCTCTGGAATGTCACCCAGCATACCTTGGAGGGAAAGCAAAGAGAGCATGCTTTCCCAAGCAGTCTTCCAGGAAAGTTTCTGGAGTTCTGGTCCTTCTGACCCTTGAGATAGACAAAATTGAAAGGATCAGACAGTTAACGAGTGGTGTGTGGGCAAATAAGAATTCTGCTTGTCACATTTTCCTGTCTGGCTGTTACTTTGATGCCATGGAAACTTGTGGTAAACACATACCAAAGGGGTGTGCAGGTTCCGTGGAGTCCTTACCTTGGGCTATATGCAGGAAGGGTCGAAGACTGTGGTACTATAATGACTATACAAAGATATGATAAATGTGATAGCCTCCTCGCTGTGTGTTTTGAAAGAAAAAAAACCTCAGGGCAAAGAGTTTCGCTGTTCTTCCATATATAAGGCAGGTTTGAGGCTCATGGAAGAAAAAAAACTCCACGAAGTAATTCACAGCCCACTAAGTTTAGCTCAAGAGAGATTAATAGAAAGGGGTTTTATTTTGCTCCAGAGTTGCTGAAGAACACACAAATCTTTATCCACTCATCACTTTGGGATGACAACAGCACCATCGCTCCTGACAAGGCAGAGTATTCAGAATCTGCATTTATTCCAAGGCAGATGAATACACGTGGTACTGGAGTATCTTGCCCTGCTGGAGCTCTGCACGTTTGCGAGCTGTGCACCTTGGCCTCAGCAAAAACTGTGGAAGAGAGTAAGAGGTGGAATATTTGCTGTGGGTGTGTGGACAGTGCAAGTTTGTGCAATCCAGCACAGGGAAAACCACAGTGGCACTTGTCAGCCTCTGACAGAAGCAGGGTAAATTAGTGTACGTGGACTCCTGCGCTCTCCTGCATAGCCTGATTATGTGTGAAGTATCTATTTGAGAGAAAATTTGGTTGTATCCACACTGAGCTGCAATGGGACTATATCCCAGATGTTGTGGGTGAGGTAGGAAACTCTGTTAGTAACAGCGGTTTCATGAGACAGTGTGAATTCAAGCTCTTTAGCTTGGGAGGCAGAGACAAAAAGAAATTAAATATGCCTTCACTAAGCAAATCTATCCAGTTCCAGGCCCTTCAGTTCCAGAAGGACAGGGAACTGCTGGAGAGAGTCCAGCACAGCCACAGGGATGATGGAGTGGGACATCTCCCTGAGGAGGAGAGACTGAGGGAGCTGGGGCTCTGCAGCTGGGAGGTAGAGGGGTGACCTCATTCGTGTTTGTGAAGGTGTGAAGGGGGAGTGTGAGGAGGATGGAGCCAGGCTCTGCTCAGGGATGGCCAGTGACAGGACAAGGGGCAGTGGGTGCAAGCTGCAGCACAGGAGGTTCCACAAAAACATCAGAAAAAACTGTTTCCCTGTGTGGGTGCCGGAGCCCTGGCCCAGGCTGCCCAGAGAGGGTGCGGAGTCTCCTGTTCTGGAGACTTTCAACCCCACCTGGACGTGTTCCCGTGGGGCTGCCCTGGGTGACCCTGCCCTGGCAGGGGGTGGCACTGGGTGATCTTTCAAGGTCCTTCCAACCCCCTACATTCTGTGATTCTGTGATGTACAAAAGCAATTTCCCATGGCTGGCCAGTCCTCAGGGGATGTTCCTTTCCTACAAGCTGAGTTCACAGCTCAGCTCAGTCTCAGCTGGGCTCTGTCCATGCAGTTGTCTTCTCCTCTGCTGTTCTGCACCCTGCCCTTTCTGTGCCCAGCCCTGCCCGGAGGCTCTCACACCATTGCTTTTCCATGCTCGTGTCTTCAAGAGGGATCGATGAGAGGAGGCCTGTGCTTATGAATTGTGTCCTTGTGTTCATTTCCTTCTGGGTACTTCCAAGTGTTAGAGAAAAATAGAAGGTTCTTCAGTATCACTTGGTCCTTGATGAAGCGCTTCGTGTCATTTGGGAGTGCAGTTCTCTACTCAGTGGAGAGGAGAGGAACCACATTTTTCTTTTAAGCAGTGCGATTTAAAGGGAAATTTTCTCTTTTGACAAATAGCACAACAAAGACTTTGATCTGCTGCTAAGAAAGGTCTTTGGGGCCCTTGAATGTCTAGGAAGATGGAAAATCTGCTAATACTGGAGTTGAGAAGAGCGAGAAAAAGAAAAGCAAAGGAACTAGACTCTGCTTTAGGCATGTGATGGATGTTCGTTCAATTTTGTATTATGGAGGTTGCATGCTTGTAGTAATTGCAGTAGCGGAAGTCAGACCCCTTCCATTTGCCAGCCAAAATAAGATCTCGGTTAAGAGCATAGGACAAATATGAGAAGAAAAGGGTCAACAAACCCTAGAAGCGTGTCAAGAGTTAGGGCTCAAACCAGGACAAAAGGTAAACCAGCCATCTTTGCTATTGAGGTTCCTCCACTGTGAAGGTCTTGTGCACAGCAGACTGAGATTAGTAACCTAGAATTTGTTTTCCTTACTCTCACACATTTGCAGGATGCCTTTGTAGCATTCCACGTTGACAAAGTGCTGGTGAACAAGTACTTGAAGCCACTGCAGATTGGGGAGTTGGCACCAGATCAACCCAGTATTGAGCCCACTAAAAATGTAAGTCTATCCCTGGAAATCAGATCAAAAGGTAGATTAAAGGGAAATATTTTGAGATTAGACCTTGTTCTTCTGCATCAGTGGAGCTCCTGGAACAACAGGGTCCAGGTTCTCCACCTTTCTAATACTTAGAAGCAATACCCGAATATTAGTCTAATTCCACACTATGTGGTTGAGAATGAGATTCCTGAAGATGATTTTTTTCTTATCACAGCAACTCTACATTAATAGCAGAGCTTTGTTTTGCTTTCACAAGTATCACACCTATCGCCTTTTCTTCCTTCCCTTGCTTTGACCCTGTAGATGACTTGCACCAGAGCCTGCATGTGCCTGGCTCCATGCAAACTCAGTATCCCCAGAATGATTGGGAAAGTAGGTTGGAAACCCCCTTTGTGGCTTGGGTTGCAGAGAGGCAGGAATCAGGCTTGGGAAGCACCTGCAGAACTGGCAAAGCCAAGGGTGGGTTGGTCTAGCACCTGTACTGTGCTCATTTCTTCTTCCATCCTCCTTCCTCAGTGCTCACCAGCCTGAGGCCGGATGGTCTGTAGGTGCCATTTCCACAGAGGCATTGAATCCTCCCCTGTTAATTTTGGAAAGTGTAAAGTGGAGGTGGTATCGATCTGGTGGAAATGGTGATGGAAGAGGAATAATTTCATCTCAAAGACCTACCACAAGGTGGCGAGCTATGTTCAAGCACCTAGACCTTCCACTAGACACAACTTCCACCCGAGCCCTCTGCCAAGAGGATGATGGAAGAACCACCAGGGATGTAATCACAGAATTATTGAGGCTGGAAAAGACATCTGAGATCATCAAGTCCAGCCTAATCTTAGGGGCTGGGGGTACAGACCCTGTGCTCTGTGATGGGTGCTGCTGGTCCTCTGCTCTGTGCACCTCCTCAGGCAAAGTCACGGAGAAGCTGTAGGAGAGCAAGGATGAAGTTAACTGGTGTGTAAGCCCAGCTCTTGCCTGTTTGGTCAAATACTTTGCTCTCTCTTTCCTTCACTGAAGTGGTCCTTGGCTCTTGAGGCTGCAGTGCTACCCTCTAGAGACAGGGAACGTGTGACCTGGTGCTTCCCACAGAAAATGCTGGTGAAAGACTTCCGTGAGTTGCGCGCTACTGTGGAGAAAATGGGACTTCTGAAGCCAAATCAGCTCTTCTTCTTCCTGCACCTCGCTCACATCCTCCTGTTGGATACTGTTGCCTGGCTCATTCTCTTCTACTTTGGGACATCCTTAATGCCCTTTGTTGCCTCTCTGGTGGTGCTGACCATTTCCCAGGTAAGCCACTAAGTCCACAGCACATGCATATGGACTTGCATCAAGTCCCACTCAAATAATACTATTGCAATTTTGTAGTCCACCATTTCCTTACTTGGCATAGTTCCCCTTTGTCATGAGAAGGCAGTGTTATATGGTTATATGCATTTACAGAAGATGTAAAGAAGAAATTCTGCTTTGTGGGGAGCTCCCACTAAGCCTAGTTGAGCATTCTTTCAGCAAGATGTATTTTAGAGGAAGCCTCAAGACTAGCACGATTTCATAATCCCTTTCTGATTGTAGCTTTGGAGTGGTGTCCAAGAAATAAAGCTTGATCTTTCAAAACAAAGGATGAATGTGGCACAGTCCTGGACTCGATTCCTCTTTTTTGTCCCCCCCCTCCCCTTCTTTTTCCTCTTGCAGGTCCAAGCTTCGTGGTTACAACATGATTTAGGACATCTTTCTGTATTCAGGAAGAGCAAGTGGAACCACTTGCTGCACAAGTTTGTGATGTGCCATTTGATTGTAAGTACCAAACTTTGGAAAAACTTCTTGTATTTGATGTCTTTCCTGTAAAAGTCTGTGTTCTGAAGACTCTGTGGAGGATACTGTGTTCAGAATTGAGCGAATTGGAGAGAATTCGGCTCTGAAAGCACTTCTCATACTTTGTTCTTCACTGAAACAGGGGGCATCGGCCAGATGGTGGACTCTTCTGCACTCCCAGCACCATGCCAAACCCAACTGCTTCCAGAAAGATCCCGACATCGATATGCACCCTTTCTTGTTTACTTTGGGGAAGAAATTATCTGTAGAGGTCAGTCTGTGTGTGCTCCTCATGTACCAGGGACTGGGAAGAACATCCTGGGCAACAAAAAGCATGCCATAAAGTACCATAAAGATCTAAAACTAAGATGTGCTGACAGTTTCTGAAAAGAGATTTCTTTCATCTGTGTCTACTTTCTTCAGCCTTTGCAAGCAGGTCACAGTTCACATTAAATTCCTTAAAAAAAAATTGTATAACAGCTGAAAAGTAAATGAGTTCAACATGATCTACGTGCATCACATAAAGGGTGGAAAGTGAAAAGGCTTTATTAAGGGTTATAGCAACTTAATGACCTAGAAGAACAACTGAGTAATTATTGATTATTAGGTAACATGTAAACATGAATATAAAGCATGTCTGCAGTTGCCTTGGGCTTATGACTTTAAAATTCATGTCTTAGGCTCTGAAATATGGGTGGCTTTGGCATGTCTCTGCCTTTTAGGAGAAGGCAGAAGCCTTGTTGTGCTTTGGCATGTCACAAGTATATCTAGAACCACTTCTCAGCAACCGTTTGCTTAATTTATATTCCCCTATCAGAGGAAAATCTGATGCTTGCTTAACAGTTTATCTCTGAAGGGCTTCACAGAGCTGCAAGGCATTAAAGCCTTACATTAATGGAACGTGGGGGTGTAGAAAAGGCGTACTGAGTAAACTAAGGGGATGTGTACACAAGAGGGCGACAGTGGGGATGAGGGCTGTGGGAAGTGTGCCAGAAGAGTGTCTCTGGGGAAGGAAGAGTGGAAAACAGCGAGTTACTCGTGCAGATTGCTAAGTGTTCACACAGTATTTTCTTGCTGCTTCTTTTCACAGCTTGGGATCAAAAAGACGAAATACATGCCATACAATCACCAGCATAAATACTTCTTCATCAGTGAGTGTCTCCATTCTCCTGCAATACTATGAGGGGTACTAATGGGCTTGTGGATCTTATTTTTGACCTGTAGGACTTGAGCAGAAATAAGGTGCCTGCATCAAAGAACATAGCAGTTTAGTTTGAATCTAATTTTTGGAGAAGCGGGAACTGTCCTCAGTCAAGCTTCGGAGAGCTTCTTGTCTTACCTTTGTTTCACCTCTTGAGGTCAGCAGACTCCCAGATTGCTCACTATTGATACCTACTGATGGCATCCAGAAAGTTCTGCACCCTAAAACTCCTCAGAATGTTCAGGGGTGTTCCTTTGCTTCCAGTGTGATTATCTGTCGCTCGGTCCATGACGCTCCCAGTGACAGAGAATTCTCCTTCACAGCTCTTCCTCCGCTCCTGTTTCCCACCTACTTCCACTACCACACCTTTTATATCGCGTACACCAAAAGATATTGGGCGGTAAGTCTTGCTGCTGGTGCAGCCACGAAGGGGTCAGCTGTGGGTCTTCAACCCTTCTTCTGAACGTGCACCCAGCTCTGCGATGCCGTGTGCTGTTCAGTCGAAAATAACACAACGGGCAGTTTGACGCAGTGTTTTTCGGTGGCTCTGTGTATTTTCTGCTAAAGCCATTGTGTCCTCAACTCGATGACAACAGGCTGTTTGGCTTCTACTGCTTTGCCTCATTTGCAGAACCACAAAGTGCCCTGTCTCGTTTGGTTTGGGATGCAAATCGGAAGGTCCGTAGTAGTCGAGAATGGGAGGGTGGGGATCTACAGGAGCTGGTTTGGGTTGGTTAGCACGATAGGAGGACGTTGGTTAGCCCTACAGGAGGACATTGGTTAGCACTATAGGAGGACGGAGCAACTCTTGGCCAAAATGAGGTCGTTAGTCCAGCGCACAGTTGGCTGTGGTGGCCTGGGCGATGATTTGATACAAGTCTTCGAATCGTGTTTTTGAACGCATAATCATTTGCTAATATATTAATCTGCTTTCTGGGTGTGAATGCTCAGATTCATCTCTATTACAGCAGGCTGTGGGAAAAAATTGTTATTTAACTTATGTTGGATTGCTCCAGATTATTCAATCTCGCAAAAAGCTATAGAAGCTGAATGTAGATTGTTTTCTTGTAAATGTGATGTGAAGCTTAGAAGAATATTTCAACAAATGCAATTTATAATTTTATCTTTTCTTGTTGTCTCTGATTTTGGTAGGACTTGGCCTGGATGCTGACCTTCTATATCAGATTCTTTTTTACTTATGGATTGTTATTAGAAATAAAGAGTCTTCTGGCATATTATTTTCTATTCAGGTGATAATCTCTCTAGAAGGTTCTTCAGCCTTCCTCTGCTTATTCTTCCCATCTGTGCAAGCCTGCCTTTCTCTGCTTTTGCTTATCTTTCCATGTCTTCTGTTGCCATCTCATTTTTTGCTTAGTTTTCTAATTCTGTAAAGTTACTAAGGCTTTTCTGCTCAATTGCCAGTTTGAGTTTTATGTCACCTCATTGGCTCTGGCAGCAACGAGACTTCACTAAGTGCTGATCAAATTGAGAAGAACTTACCTTAGATGACATTCAGCGCTTTGGGTGTTGGGTCTGATACTGATTAGAAAAAATGAACATTTAACAGAAACAGCTTAGCCTGAGCTTGCAAATCACAGAATGAGCAAACAATACGTTCTCCACTTGGATCATTCTACTGATTCTAATCGCTTCTGGTCCTTGGCTACAAATAAACCAAGGTGAACATCAAGCTGTGTCAGTTTTATAACAAAACATATTAAATAATCATGAGTTTCATAAGGAAGTAAGAAACTTCCAGGTTTGGGAAGTTCTTCCAGGTGCTGGATTAGCGAGGCTGGTGTTCAGGCATGTGTTTGGAAGTCTGGCTATGCTGTTATTTCAGTGGCTCTTCATTGAATTGCTTGCCTGTTACTGAATTTTGGCCTCTTCTCTGATTACACAGGATGCTGGAGAGCAGCTGGTTTGTCTGGGTTTCACAGATGAACCATATCCCTATGCACATTTACTATGACAACAATTTGGACTGGGTGTCTACTCAGGTAAAATATTTTCCGTTCTTAAGAACTGTGGCCATACAGGTACAAATTCCAACCGTATGACAAGCAAGTTCTCTATTGCACAAAGGGTGAAAATGCATTTGTGACTGGGAAGTGAAGTTTAATAGGATAAAGGGATGCAGCAGGACAGCAACAAGTTCCTGGGCAATCTAAAATCAAAGCTAGGTCCCAGCACTATTTCCTAAACATACCCAAGCTCCCCACTTACTTGCATCATTCTGTCTTGGACCTTTCCCACTTATGCAGAGATGGAAATTTGTGTGGTACTCTTGCTGAGCCATTTGGCATGGGTAGAATGCCGGCGTGGGGTCCCCTCTTTGCAGAGAGACTTGCTGGAGTCCAGCAGTAAAGCCTGACCACCGCAGAAGCACCGTGCCATCTCCGCTTTTTCTGCAGACGTAGGTTTGAGAAGACCCAGGAGGAACTTTTGACTGTTCACGTGCATTCACAGGAGCACAGAGCCAACTCCTGGTGTTACTGTGGTCCGTGTTAGCCAGTCTACATACATCTGATGGTCCACAAAACTGAAGGAGGATTATGATCCCTGGTTTGAGGTAGCTCAGCTTAGGCTAAAAGAAAACAACAGACCAGAGCAGCACGGCACACTGTGCTCTTCAGGTGGATGAGAAAGGCTGCAGTCACCAAGCTGTACTGACTTTTGCTTTCCTTTCCCCCCTACTCTAGCTCCAGGCAACTTGCAATGTTGAGCAGTCTCTGTTCAACGACTGGTTTACTGGGCATCTGAACTTCCAGATTGAACATCAGTAAGTACTTGAATTTTCTTCCCTCTCTTTTTTTTCTTAAATGTTTTTTTTTCTTTTACTCTTTTCCCTATTCTTTGCTCTGAATTCTATGAATAGTTGTGGGGCACCAATGACTTTGTCTTTAAAAAGAGCCAAAAACCCTAAAAAGAGCCATCACGTAATTCACTGGACCCAGAGAAAGGTGAGAATGACTGGGAAGAATTGAACATGGGCAGAGTCTATGAAACCAGACAGACAGCAACAGGGTCTATGCAAAGCAATAGCTTGTAAGCACTAGGGAAAATGTGCACGCCAAGGCACCCTGCTCATAGTCTGACGCAGGAGTTTAAGTATAGTGACTACTTATGCTGTTACTCTAGAGACTGAGATACGCAACTGAAGGATGGGCTCATCTTCTCTGTGCTATGGAGATGGTTACCTTTGGAGAAAGGGGATGGGAGTAGTTTCTTCCAGTTTGTGATGTTGCTTAATTGGAGAAATGTGGCTTCAGAGATGCTAGAGAAAACTGCGGAAAATAACAGACGAGGAAGGCAGGAAATTCCTAAGTTACTTGTGCAAAAAGCACACCAAGGGGAAAGAAGAGCCAGGAGAGGCTAAAGAACCTGCTCACCGGTGGTTCGTGGGAAGTAATAATGAATGAGTGAACATGTGAAGAGTAATATTGCTTTGGGTGCACTGGGAGAGAATTTTTCTGTCTCCTGTTTGCAGCCTATTCCCCACAATGCCAAGACACAACTACTGGAAGGTGGCTCCCCTGGTGAAGTCCTTGTGTGCCAAACACGGCATTGAGTACCAGTGCAAGCCGCTGCTCACGGCTTTTGCAGACATTGTGCAGTAAGTAACAACACCCTGAGGGAACATTGCAGAAGGGTGTAGAGAGATGGGAATGCTAAGAGCAAGAGTTGGTTTGCTGGTCTCTTACAAATGAACCCACAGAAACTGTTGTTCCCCTTGTCCCCACCCACATTCCCCTAAGCAGCCCTGCGTAACGTGGCCTCTTGCGCTCTCTCTTTCTCAGCTCTCTGAAGAATTCAGGAGAGCTCTGGCTTGATGCCTACCTACACAAATAAGAAGACAAGGCTTGATGGTACCATTCACAGCCTGCCACGTCTTTGCCTTCCCAGCAAGCTGAGGAGCAGGGACCACAAAGGGACTCCATGGCAGAATTAAATGGCTAAGAACTGAAGGGTATGGCTCCAATAGCTATGAAGCTATCTGAATTTCACTTCTGTTTTTTTTCTGGTATTTTGGTTCAGATATGTTAAGAGCAGAGAGGATAAGCAGGAGATGCGTGGTTAGAACAGGACAAAACTCTTTGTTGTGTCTGAGTAAATATGGCCAAGAGAACTTTTGAGCCTGAGTATGTGTTCGGGTCAGGTTATGGACTGTTTCAGCTGCACACACTTCACAGCAGAGCCCTCTGACTTATTTATTTATTTATTAGGTACCCTTCATGTGGAGGGTTTAATGCTTAATACAGCATTTGCTTATTTGATGTCATTTGAAATAACAGTGCAGGACTTTGAATTAACATGGTGTTTCCAGCAATACACTTCAACTGTAATAACTCATCATAAACTACATATCCCACTTAAAGTATAGCGATGGCAGTGTGCCATTGAACAACAACATAAACGTGTCTCTCATGACTGTAGAACCCCCTCACTGTCACAATGCCAAGCATCCTCCAGTGTCAGGAAGAAATACCTGGGTTTAAAACCAGCTCAGGCCCACTTCTCTCTCCAAAGTTGCTTGATTCATTCTTTGATTGGAGCTTTTATTTTGTCTCCACTGTCAAGTCTGTGCCCCAAAATGCTCTTAAGTACTTCATGCCTGTACCCCTTCATGCCACACGCTTTTTCTTTGCTTCTCAAAGCTGCTACTATTATACCAGCTTTGTATTTCATTATGTTAACAGACAGCTGTACCTCACCTGACATAGAGCAACTGCTTGTTACTGCTATCTAGAGATGATTATGATCATACTCTAGAAAGATAAACCAAAAGTAAAATAAATGAGCCCCAGACATTTGGTCAAATAGACAAGCTGCAGCTACAGAAAATAAAGTTGCAGAGAGATGAGACTGAGCAAGCCTGACAAGCTTCAGTTCTGAGGCTTTGCAAACTCAATACAGGGCTGAGCCATTATTTCATCACATAAATCATAAACCCATTATAATTGCTAAATTGCTCTTATCATCGGCAGAACCACATTCAGAATTTCTGCGGTGGAAGAATATGCGATGAACCTCACAAGGGGGAACAGGTTTATCTAAGTCTTGGAGTGAGCTGCGCTCACCTGGAGCTGGAAGCTTGCAGGAGGTGCAGGAGGCTTTTCTGGCAGGCTGCGGGGTTCTCAGCTCCTCAGGCTTGCCTTGTGCTGCACCTCGTGAAGTCTCTGCCCTGAGGTAGGGCTCTACCAAAAAGTACAGAACAATAAGCCAATGCCTAACATAGATCTGTGAATAAAAATAATATTCTCAATTAGTGCCATAGGTTCCTAGTGTAAAAGCAGATCTATGTTACTATAGGGGTGAGGGGCAGTAATCTTCCTCGCCTCCTGGTGTGGTTTCCAGCTCTGGAAACAAACCTGAGATTTTATTTGTAATCCAAAATCAGGTGAGGAAAGCAGGGAAAAGGGTAGAGCTGCCTGGTTGCTTTTGCAAGTCGGGCTTGCAGGAGCAGCAGCCACGTGAACTCATCCTGAAGCAAAGCTGCTTTGCTCCAGCCTATATTTTTAAGTCGGCGTCACACAAGGTTGGGGACAGCCCTTTGGACACGAGCACTGGCCATGTACTATAAGGGGACAAGAGGGCAGGATCCAGACTGAAGGCTTTAAGGGCGACACAGATTCTGTGTGCTAAGGCAAGGGTTTTAAGCTTATTAAGGCAGTTTGGAGAGTTCAAGTGTAAACTGAATTACCTGAGTGGACTCCCATTTTGGCTCTGCCAGGCAGAAGGTGAGTCGGAGAAAGAGGCTAATCTAGGTACCTGGAATTGCCCTAGAGAGGCAGCAATATCTTTCTGTTAATTAGTATGAGAGTATGTTCTTTATCTGAAGCAAGTACCACCATGAGTACATCCTCAGACCCTGAAATAAAAGATAACTTTTGGAAAAAACTAATTGGAAACCAAAAAAAATTTATTTTGAGTGGCAGCAGCTACGACCACTTTCTTGCAATAGTGAAGGTGATGAGGTTAATAAATACAGATGTCACTTGGGAAAAAGAAAGATAGCAGAAAACCTCTGATTATATATATAATCATATATATAACGAATGGCCTTTGTATTGTTTGTGTGATGCTTGTCTGAACTGCACATGCCACGCTCAGCACCAACTTTCTCCTAGAAACCTTTAACCCCGTACAGTCAGCCAGAACATGGAAAAGATTTGTTATTAAACCGCCTTCTGCCTTGGAGAATGTGCAATTATGTTTAGAGGTTAACAGCACAAAGTACGATTCCTGAACGATGGGAGGAAAAGAAGCGATGCCTGAAAACCCTGTGGGAGGATTGAAGCAGGACTCAGAACATGATCAGTTATTCACAAATGCATTTCCGCTATTTTAAAAAGCCTTTTTAACTTATCTTAAGTAGATTTTGCAAATAAATTCCTCGGGCAGATGAGATGCCTCATTTTGAAGACCTTGGACATCATTTAGCTTCTAGTGCAATTTGCAGTCAGGCCCCCTGTAAATCAAAATACAATTTAAAAAAAAAAAAAAGAAGAGCTGCAAATGTCTTCATGAGTTGAGGACCCAACGGTGTGCAGATGAGGGAAGGTGTGCAAGAAAGCTGCGCAAGATTGACATGAAGGGCTGTGAATAAATGTGGAATTTGGATCAACACTAGAACAAACAAGGAAGAGTTGCCAAATTTTCCCCAGGTATCTTCGACCAATCTTATCAGCAGGGTAAGAAGTACAGGTTTACATGAAAGGCTGCCTGTGTTACCTCAGGAAAATATGTAATAGCCTGGTGAGATTTTACAAAGCAGATGCTGCTGAGAGGGCCAAAGAAGGAAACACAAATTAGTTCTATAACGCAAGAGAAAAGCAGACACACAGAAAAAAAAACTCACATAAAGAAGTTGTGGTATGTGAAACCAGAGTGGAAGTAAAATTAGCATCACCGCTAGAGTATCTCCTCTAAATGTAGAGACTGATGGAAATAATACAGAATATTAACTGACTTATTCTAAAGTAGAGCCTTTACTTGCAACGCTGAAATGTAAATTCTATTATTTTCCAGTGGTCGTATCTCAAAATCAGAGGTCCAGAACAGTTAGTTTCCAAAGTTTGAATTTAAAATGAAGTATTTTCTCCAGTAAATTCTCTCTGGGAAAGGAAATGTTTTAAAAAACATCAGTGTTTGTGACAAATTTTGGTTTATATATGACACCTCCGACTAACAGCTAGATATTAAGTAAATGACATAAGCACATTCAACGTCTTCTGCGTTATAAAGCTGAAGGGGAAATAATAAAAAGTCTTAACCTTTTAACAAAAAGCTGTAGCTATTAAAATGTTGACAGATCATAGCCCAACTTTATATACGTATATAGTATATACTATAGATATACTCCTATATGCACAACTTTGCTGAAAGAAGCATGTAAGTTACTTGTTTCGAATCTAAAGAAAGAGCAGCGCTTAGGAAAAGTAACGAGCATCACACACACTTTGGACTCCGCAGATACGCGGTAAGTGAAGCGGGGAAAAGGAGCTCAGGTTTCTTCATTCTCACTTTTCCAACTTCCCCCCAAAATTAAGAGTGCTGTCAAGCACCCCCAGACAACATGAGAGCTGCGATTGGGGCAGAGCTCTGTGCTTTCACTTCCTTCCTCTGTGCCAATTTTGATTTCCCTCCCTCACGTGAAACTACACAAAAAGGACCACCAGCCTTGTTGCCGTATTTAACTGGGTTTAACCAGAAAGATAGCGAGAAGAAAAAAAATCCCAAAAACACAAGCGAGGCAAAATACAATAGTTTGTTAAAGATTAGACTTCTAGGCAGAGCGAGCCTTGTGTCAGGTTTGGCAGCTCCTGTGCCAGCGTCAAGGTTCCTGCTGGCCGGGCAGAGTGGGTTGGGAACAGGTCACCCAGACCTCGTTTGGGCGGACGGTCACTAAAGCAGCCAACGAGAGGTGATGTCCGGTCAAACCGGCAATTCCCTCGGCGTGTTTTCCTTTGATCTATTGTACGGAGACAATGCTAACGTGAAGAAACGGCACGTTCGGTTGGGTTGTCTCCTCAAGGTAAGGAGGAAGCAAAAAGAAGGCTGGACATGATCAAGGAGGGTGAAGTCACTAAATCAAGCGAGGTGAGAGGTGGTTCAGCCCTCCCAGCAATCGCTGTCTTCTGGACCCCTCACCTTTCACGGTCTTACAGACCCACACAGTACAGAAAGTATAGAGTACAGAAAGTAAATAGAACAGAAAGTGTATAGTACAGAAAGTACAGAAAGAGAGGTAAGAGCTTCCACAAGAACCCAGTTACCTGCTACCCCACACATTTCCAGTAGCAACCCCAGCAGCACACGCGAGCAAAAGCCAGATTTAAAGCTGAAAACTCGCCCAGCCTGTAGGCGCTTCGTATTTTCATTCTGTTTGGGGAGTGTTTTAACCGCAACTTAAGGCTGTAAACAGTACCTGCCATCAGCCTTATTTGTCAGTAATTCTTACGACATGTATGGACAAGGTTAAAGACGGATTCCTGAGGCTTAAGTGTACAAGGTGGGAAAGAAATGATTCTTCCCCAGCTATTTGTTTGTAGGAGAGTGCATCCACTTGTGTGTCGGTGCTGTTGCTGCCGATCCTGAATCAACAATCACTGAGAGAGACAAGCAGATATTGCACTGGTAGAAAAAAAAAAAATCAATGAAAAAAATAACAAAGTTCCCAATGCTGGTCAAAGTTTAAAAGTGGTGAAATTCGAGAGGAACAAGCAGTGAATAAACACTGAAGTTAACAGACAGAGCACATCTCTATAAAGAATTTTTTGTGATTTATCACATTCTACAGAAAAAGAATAAAAAGTTTTTCTTCTTGCTTGTTCTGTTACAGCTTTACA